CAGGTGCCCAGCCATGATGTTCTTAATAAGCAAACTTAGCCAGTGCCTTCTAGAACAAATGTCACGAGCAGGCATTCATATAAGCCCAGCACTTTGTCTAACAGAAATACCCTAGCTATTAGGCAGCAAAAAGGTCACTCAGTTATGGAGGCAGAGTTCATGTTAGGAAAACCGGGTGCATGAACCGCCCATGCACAGCACACATGGCAAGGACAAGAGTGGAAGGACAGGAGGCTGTTAGTGGAAGGGTGATACGGGAGACAGAACGTGAGGCAGGGGCCCCAGAGACCTGCGTTCCAGTTACCTCCTACTGGCACACCGTCGGACCTTGGGGCAGCATGTCACACATCTCTGTGTTTCTCTCTCCTTGTCTCTTAGGTGTGTAAGACAACGGGTCCCTCCACCTTGCTTCCATCCCTCTCCTGGGTTTAAGAGACTCTAAGAGCAGGAAGAAAAGTGCATAGAACTGTAGCCAGATCCTGGGACTCAGCCTCTACGATCCATGATCCGGACTCATCACTTAGGGGGCCTTCCCAGCTGTCCCTCTACGTGCAAATGACCAGGGGCAGGCATTTCTTCGGACACCACTGCCCTTCTTCTAATACTCCACATGGCTCCTGGGGGAGCCCACTATTGGAAACAGTCACTAGTAAAACATGAGGCTGGCCAGAGTGGCCATGAAGGTCAAGGCAGGCTCGAGGCGGAAGCTCTACATATGCTGGGACACAGGTGGGTTTTCGATACTGAGACGTGATCCAAGCCTCAGCTTTGCTCCCAGCAGTGCAGGGAATCATGAAAAGGATTCATATTCACAATGGTAGTGAACGTCCCCATTAGATCATTCTCAGCTTTGAGATAAAACGTGTTTTTGCCTCTGTGTTTCTTAGTGCTCAGTTTATACCTCCTCTGAAAGAACAGAGCTCTTGCTAGAAATGGAGAATTCAAGGAGCAAAAAATCAGAATTTACATCCCACCCTTTGACCAGGAAGGACGCACCCACCACACTCTGCCTCTGACTGCTGCGAGCTACATGTTCTGATACTGAGCTGTACGGGGGAACGTGAAAACACATACTCAGATCATCAGGATCAATGTATACCTTAAAAATACTAATTTTTCTTTGCATCCTACTCCATCTTTAGAGCACACTTAAAAAAAAAAAAGAACAGATCTCTATCAGAGTTTTTGCAGTTACAAAGAATAATCCCATCAAAAGGGGAATAATTCAAAGAGACAGCCCCTCGCCCCTGTTCCCCGAAAAATATAATTTAGGTGTGGAGACATCCCGGCACTGATTGACACCTGTCAGAGTTAGGGATTTTAGAAAGACTAACAGAATGACAACCGCTAGTGGAAGTATTTACGGCTTTCTGAAGGGCAGTTACACGTAGGGCTTAGTGTCGAAATGGGAAAAACAGGCCACCCTGCCTTCACAGAAAAATGACTCAGAGAGAGAAAACCCTAACATGTGAGTTATAACATCAATATTCAACTCATTTTCTTTCCAGGCTGTTTGGATTAGGTTTCAAAACTTAGTAGGCCGGAAGAGACTTAAAATCATGTTTGTTATCACTTCAAGAGACCCCACATAGGTTTAGGAGGGCTCTAAAGGAAAAAAAAAAGTGCTACAAAGTATAAAAATTTCTTTTCGGTTTGTTGGTAAGGCTTCCCTGTTGAGTAATTAGAGTCGCGCGTGGTAGGGGTGGGTAAGGAAACGGGTTCCCAGGAGTTCACACGCTAGTAACTTCTCTCCAGTGTCCCTGTGCCTTTTTCCCACGTTTTCCTTAGCATCTCCCTAAGGCGGTGGTTAAGATGGGAGGCACACCTTTGGCCTCTCTTCTGTCTCCAGGCTAAAATCAGAAATGCTCAGGGGAGCAGGCAGGCAACATTACTGTCACCTATGAACAAAGCAGAAGGTGGTGACCTGGAGGGTCCCTGCTTCTCCGCTCCAGCTGGTGAGTGCTGAGAGGCCACAGAGCCAAGTGCGGCCCAAGCTAGTGATTTTTCAAAAGGGCCTGGGTATTTTAGTGAGACGGCTTGACTGTTTCAATGATGGCTTATTTGAAAAACATTCTGGGGACACCAAAATGCTTTTCAGTGGCTTGGGTTCCATTGTCAGAGTCCCTGCTTGATTTCGGCCAAGGCTATAGGGCTGTTGGTGGGCTAGTTCGGTGGTGTTACCCAAGAGTGATTTCCTGATGTCCACCTCAGAGCCTTTTCACAGACTTTGTAAGCACCTAATTCCTTCTATCAAGTCCTTCTCTGCCTAAGACGGAGTGGTTTCTAGTTCTTGCAGTTGAACCCAGACTGGCAGCTAAATATGAGATATCGGATTACAACGTGGAGAAGCGCCTGGGTGGCTCAGTTGGTTAAGCATCTGCTTCCAGCTCAGGTCAAGATCTCAGGGTCCCGGGATCAAGTCCCATATTGGGCTCCCTGCTCAGTGGGGAGTCTGCTTTTCCCTCTGCCCCTCCCCACCCTCATGTGCGTGTGCACGCATTCTCTCTCTCTTGCATGTATGTGCGTGCGTGCAAAATAAATAAAATCTTCAAGTTGCAACTTGGAGATACAATAAAGAAGATTTATCTCAAGTCACTTCGAAAAAAGAAAAGAAAAAATATAACAGACAACACTAATGTTTTTCTCATCCATATACATACAATAACCAGTATCATCATAAAGAAAAGTACACAGTCCAGGAGCGCGCAGAGATCATTCCCACACTAGTCAGGAAGGAGAACCTTATGAATCCCCAAGAATTAAATGCTTTTTTGCCAAGAGTCTGAATACTGACCCACAATCACTTGCACAAAAAAACCCCCCAAACCAAAACCAAAAACCAAGCAAAAAACCCTTTTATTCTTGTCTTGAAAATCCTAGTAAATAATTTAATAGCAAGCATACCCAATGACATGCCCCTGATCATGAGAATAGTAGCAAACCATCAGAAATCACCATGGCTGCACACAGAACTGTTTTTGACCTTGCAAGGAGCTTCCTATGACTTTCCAGCCATTTTTCAAGCCGGTATTTATACTTGAGAGCAAAACCACAGTGCTCAGCTCTGCCACAGAGATAGGAAAGCTGTTGCTTGACCAACTGACGTAACAAATCTGAATGATCAAGGTCCACGGTAGTGTAAGGTATAGATCGCTTTAAATTCTTTTACCCCAAGGAAGCGAACCAAATTTCTTCTACAGTTCCAGGGATTTGAATAATTTATAATGGAGCCTTATTTGTTGGCCCTTCCAGCAGAGCTATCTAGACGGAAGCCCCACTAAGACAGATGGCTCACTTGTCATTCTTTTCACTTCTCTGGACCGAGGCGGGCTGCCTCACCCACTACCCACCCCCCAACCTGTAGCTAGCGGTGAGGGAAGGGAACGGCAACGGGAAGCAATTTCTACAGAAGCTCCAATGACCAAACCTGAACTTGCCCAGACACCAAGATGGAATCTACAAACACACCTGTGTTACAAATGAGTCTACTGTCCAGAGTCCTCTTTCTGGAAGTGAGCCAGGACGCATGGGCTGGAGAATGACGTACGGTGTAAGAAGCCGTTTACCTGCACAAACGGGACCTTAATTCTCAGGAGCTAGATTTTTAACAAGAGCTAGTTCCCATTTAATGGATAATCATCAAAACATGCGTAGTAGTCCCTGCCCAGCGACTGGAGCTCGTTACAAAATTGCATATATGGAAAGAGAGAAAATCCAACAGCTAAGCCCACGGACAACACTGTGATCTCTTTGTAACGATATCATCTTCTATTATTAGAATCTGTGTCTGACAATGTTTTGGTTCAAAAAGCAAACGTATCTAAATAACGAATCCACTCTCTATTTAAGAAATCGCAACAGCCCACCCAACACTCAACCTTTCCATCATTATGAGTTTGAGAGGGGCTGTGTTAGCCGTCCATTGCTGCTGTAAGAAATGACCATACACTTAGCAGCTTAAAATGACACAACTTATCTTGAGGCCCCGGTGGTCACAAATCCTAAAATTCAAGGTTTAGAAGAGCTGTCTTCCTCTGTTTCCTTGCCTTTTCTGGCTTCTAGAGGCTGCCTGCATTCCCAGGCTCACGGCCCTGTCCCCCACCTTCAAAGCCAGCTGTGCTCCACCTTCCAATGTCTCTCTCTGCCCTCCCTTCTGGAATCGCTTCTCTTTCTCTGACTCTAATCTTCCTGTGTTCCTCTACAAAGACCCTGTTCATAATCAGACTTGACTGCTTGAGGACAGACTGGCACGCACTTAAGGATTTTTAGGAAGGACACATTTATTGTAAACGCTCCTAGCTTCCTGTTAGTTTTGAATTTTGCAGGACTCAGTGATCTATGAAGAAACATAAGCATGAAGTTGTCTGCCACTGCAGTGTTAACAAAACGATATATATCTGTTTTCAAAAAGACCCTGTGATTTCACTGGGACAACCTGAGTAATTCAAGACTTTTCCCATCTCAGGATCTTTAATTTAATCATATTCGCAAAAGTCCCTTTTGCTATATAAGGTGACATATCACAGGTTCCAGGGTTTAGGACAGGCACAACTTTGGAGGGGGCCATCCTTCTGCCTATCACCATTACTAACGTCACTCAAACAAAAAGAGAATATGCAAATATCTTTTTTTTTAGAATATGCAAATATCTTTGCAGCTTTCAGCAATATTATCCAGGAGTACTTGCTTCAAAAACCCATTCATAAGAAATTATTACAAGAAAAATGATGAAAGATCGGTCTTCTTCCCTAGAACCAAGTATATAATTTCAATAGGACATAATGACTAACAGTGGAGAAAAATAAGCAAGGTTTTCCCCCAGATGTGCTTCTCGCCACATAAAAAATCAAGCATGTTCTCTCTTTCTCTTCCTTACGGGGCAGGTGACAGTCACGTCCTGGGCGCCAGGGACGGCATGTTCTCAATTCAGAGCTACTGGTCTAGCCGTGATGCTGATGTGGTAATAACCGGAATGGTAATCTGATCGCGCTAAGTCTCACCTGTTTGAATAGAGCGCAGTCCTGTCGTGTGGACAATGTTCATCGGCATATAAGGAAGACGACGAAATAGTGGTTACCAAGGAAGCAGCTTCAAACAGTGACGGGGTGCTAGGCACAAGGTCCGGCCTGTGTCGGGATCCCAGGGCTGGAAAACAGAAACACAACGCACGTTCGTGAATCTCCGTAATAAATGTTGCCTTAATACCTGTAATAATTTAAATCAACCCCAAAGTGTTCATTTTACATATCAGGTTGCAAATTAAATGACGAATTCACTTCGCTCTTCTGAGCTGCCAAAGACATATAAAATAGCTTCTTGCAAACAGGTTATCCGGAAAGGAAATGGCATTAATTTACAAAATGGCTTTACGGAAATGACATTATGAATGTGCTTTTAAAAACCTAATAAAGTGATTTACTGTTTCAAAAGATGACATAAAATGCTGGAAGGAGCTTAAGGGGATAATTCAACAGAGATTAACAGGATGATTGCCAAATGGAGAAACACACAGGGAACCTGCTTTCCCTCCCTAGGATATGCGTGTATCTGTCATTCTCAATTTAGATCCAAGTACTCAAACTTTCTAAGAGCCAGGAAACAAAGGCTTCCCAGATGAACAGCCAGCTCTCTCTCTCTTTTAAAAGATTTTACTTATTTGAGAGGAAGCGAGAGTGAGAGACAGCGCGAGCAAGCACACGAGCTCTCTCATGGGGGGAGGGGGGCAGAGGGAGAAGGAGAATCAGGCTCCCTCTTGAGCAAGATGCCCAATGCGGGGCTCGATCCCAGGACCCGGCGGCCATGACCTAAGCAGAAGGCAGATGCTTAACCAACTGAACCAAGCCAGCTATGTCTTAACCCCCTTTGTGTCCATATACATCTTGAATATCATCCTTGGCTCCTCTCGGCCTCATATTTCAAGAGCCAAGGTTGCCTTTCTAAAAATGAGAAAACTCCTATTTCCTTTTTAAAAGGTAGGTGCCTGGGACACCTGGGTGGCTCAGTCAGTTAAGTGTCTGCCTTCGGCTCAGGTCATGATCCCAGGGTCCGGGATGGAGCCCCACATCGGGCTCCCTGCTCTGAGGGGGGTACCTCTTCTCTCTCTCTCTCTCTGAATGCTGCTCCCCCTGCTTGTGCTCTCTCTCTGCCCAATAAATAAATAAATAAATAAATGAAATCTTAAAAAACAAACAAACAGTAGATGTGAAAGTACTTATGCAGGAAAGTAGAATGTTCAAGGCTGAGCACTGACCCACGCCCACTCTCCCTGCATCTGTGTGGAGTCCTTCTTTTTCTTATTGGGAGATCATTTTTAATTATCCTCACCTAAACTTTGGACAAATTCATATCCCTTACTGCCCAGCCTGTCAGAGACAGTATCTTAATGACAGATCCAGTCACCAAGAAAAGAGCTGCTTAAAAAAGTACACGTGTACGTCCGCAGTGACAGAATGCTACGGACCTAAGAGTTAACTCCTGAGTCCTGTCCTTCAACTTTTGCAGTGGGGCTCACACTGATTTTTTTTTTTTAAACCTAGGGAAATATTTTATTTTTAAAAATTTTTATGAAGACACAATTGACAGAACACTTTATCGATTCTAGGTGTGCAATGTGACCATTCGATACCCGTATTAAAACAAAAATAAAACTGGGGACATCACGTTACCTGATTTCAAGCTTTACTATTGTGAGACGATCCTCACAATCTAGTGACCCTCCATGACCATGTGTAGTTACAACATCTTTTTTCCTGTGAGAATTTTTAGGATCTATTCTCTTAGCAACTTTCAAACATACAATAGACTTTTGTGAACTAAAGTCAACCACGCTGGACTGTGGATTCTGTTTAATCCTTCCCCTAGACTAAACTAAGACAGAGGATAAAAAATAAAACATAATTTTGAGGTGCTCCTGGTCTTTCTTTACAGGCTCAAAATTATGCATTTTTAGGAAGTGTATGAATGGGAAAATGGTCCTAATAGGTGCTATTGCATGAGTGTGAGGTTTCGGATTTGGGGTTTGAAGAGCTGTAGATGCAGGGACATGGAGAGGCAAGGAGGGAAAGAGTGTAGGACAGAAGGGCTGTCTGGACCAGGAGACTGGACGCACTTTGTGACACAGTGCAGCTCTGCCTCCAGTTCAGCTCAACATAAAGAATTTCCATGATGAATTAGCAGATGGTAACGGTACAGCAACACAAGTAACCAAAGTGCTCTCCATGCAAAAGTGAGAAAGGCTTCCATGTAACACGCCAGCTGGCTAGCGATCTTTACCATACTTGGTCCCGCCTTCTTACTAAATACAGAGGAAAATACTGACATGCTCGAGTACTGAAGAGGGCATTCTGGAAAATGACCTCCCGCCAGAGTTTAATGAATTGCTACTCAGTTTAGGGCAGATGGAGCTGGACTAGAGAGGCTCACGCAGACTGTGGTCTTGACTTCATGAGCCAGAGACTACGTGAGTGGTACAGTTCAGAGAGACACGATCTGTCCAGGGCCTTGGGCCAGACACCGGGGAGCTGAGCCCCAATTTTTAAGGACTAGCTCTTTGAAGCAGAGAGCTGTTTCCTCAAGCTCTTCTATCTTTCGATTTTTTAAAAAAAACTAGCAGGGTAGGCAGAATTCTACACTGATCCCAGGTGACCTGCACGCTTGTATCATCTCCCTTTGAGTGTGGGTGGAACTGGGATGATAGGACTCTCGCCGTTACTGGATCGTACAGGGCAAAAGGAATTCTGCAGATGTAATTACGGTTACTCATATGTTAATTTCAAGTTAGTCAAAGAGAATACTGTCCAGGTGGGCCTGGCCTAATCACCTGAGCCTTTTAAATCTGTGTCTGCAGGTCAGAGATCCGAAGTGAGAGAAGGATTGACTTGTAAGAAAGTCCTGGTCTGAAGACTGAGGGTGCTGCCTGGCAAGGAATGTGGAAGGTCTTGGAGGTGGGGGGCTGGAGTGGGCCCACGGCTATCAGGAAGGCATAGGGACCTCCACCCTATAACCGTGAGGAAGTGAATTCCGCCAACCACGTGATGACCTTGGAGGAGGATTTTCTCCAGCACCTAAAAGAAGCCCAGCTGACACCTTTTCTGAGACCCTGATAAGCTGTGTCCAGAGAACCAAGTCAAGCCTGGCCAGAATTCTGATTTACACATGGTGGGCTAATGAAGAGAGGTTCTACTAAGCTGCAGATGTTCTGAGTAATTTGTTACATGGCCAGAGAAAATGAAGACAACCGGAAAACGGACAGCGGCACAGAAGAGAGGATTAAAAACTCGAGGGGGATCTGGCGATGACTTGGTGCACTGTTAAAGGGGAGCCCCCAAGTACGGGGCATTATAAAAAGGCCAAACACAGTAGCAAACTTTGTACATAGACAGTATTATTCAGATAAACTCATTTTCATAATGTATGTTAAAATTTTCAAAGAATATGCTCAGTAGGTTTTTCTTCAACCTTCGGAGGCTTTTTGGGTGAAGTCTCTTTAAAAATGAAGGAATGGGGGGCACCTGGGTGGCTCAGTGGGTTAAAGCCTCTGCCTTCGGCTCAGGTCATGATCCCAGGGTCTTGGGATCGAGCCCCGCATCGGGCTCCCTGCTCAGCAGGGAGCCTGCTTCCTTGTCTCTCTCTGCCTGCCTCTCTGCCGACTTGTGCTCTCTGTCAAATAAATAAATAAAATCTTAAAAAAAAATGAAGCAATGGGTGCAGTAAGTCACCTACAAAAACAAAAACAAAACCCACAACCTGTGCCCTACTTCCCAGGTCTCCAGATTTTATGGATGGTAGGCAGTGTATGTATTTATACCCCCTTCTCCCCGCACATTAACACCCAGACTCACCGCTCTAACTTCAGATGTCATCCGGTGTGCACTAGTTGAACGTTTAACGAACACAGTTTAAAAATCAGTTAATCCTATCTCCCAGACCGCAGACACTTTGCAGTTTTATGTGTGTTCTAAGAAGCCCGGGCCATGTGGTAGGGGAGAGGCGGGCGCAGGGGGAGTCTCAGGGAGATGGTATCTCCGAGCCAGAAATGGCAGCCGGAGAGAGGAGCAAAGGCGATTCGTGAACTCCTTTGCCGAAAGCACTAAATGTGGGTCTGAGCTGTTTTCTAGGAAGATAAGAAAGAAGGAAACCCCACATGACAGCGGTGGAGAGGTGCTGCAGAAGGAACAGGAATGACACCCTATCCTAACCACTCTGGGGGAAAGGAAAACCTGAGAAGAGATCAAATGTAATCGAAGGAGAAGAAATTTTCAGGAAATGTTGGGATTCCCCAAAGAATACACTGATTAAAAAAAAAAGAAGAAGTCTAAAATGTCACTTCCTCTTCTAGAATTAGAAGAGAAAAAAAACCTCATGATCAAGTCAACACACAAGAAAAAGTATGTGATAAAATTCAACACTCACTCCTGATAAAAAACTTTTCAGCAAACCAGGAATAAAAAGGTACTTCCTTGACCTGATTAGGGGTATCAAATAGAGCCAAGTTCTTTCTCAACAGTGAAACCTGAGAGACATTCCCTTTAAAATCGGGACAAGGCAAGGCTGCCCACAATCACCAGCTGCATTCATCATTGTTCTGGGAGACCTAGCTGGCAGGTGAGGAAGGAAGGAAAGAGAAGGGAGGGCTACACAGTACCAAGAAACAGCCAGAAAACCCAAATCTTAAAAAGATGCTATTTGAAAAGACTGAAAATACATGTCTATGACTATCTCTATATGCATTTGAGAATAAAGCTAATAAAAGGGAGGTGTACGAGACAAGCAAGAGGAAAGTCACAAAACCTTTATTAAATTCATTAAAGACCTAAATGAATGGAAAATTCATTGTTACATTGTGTACACATGTATCTGTAAGGATGTGTGTGGACATATGTATATAATGCATATGTGTTTGAAACTTGCACACACACACACACACACACACAGTTTGTGCACACAGAACAAGGTCCAATAGTAAAAACACAAAAATGTTCAGATGTGTGACCTCCCAATAGTGGGTTATGGATCTTTTAATTCTAAATACCTCAGTATATCTTCCAACTTTCCTTTCCTCTTTACTATCAACCACATATTATATTATTCAGGTGTTTGAAAAATTTGTAGTAACTATGTCATACCTAAATATCCTTTTTTTAAATTTTTTTAATTTTTATTATTATTATTTTTAAAGATTTTATTTATTGATTTGACAGACAGAGACCACAAAGGGGCAGAGAGGCAGGCAGAGAGAGAGGAAGGGAAGCAGGCTCCCCGCTGAGCAGAGAGCCAGACGCGGGACTCGATCCCAGGACCCTGGGATCATGACCTGAGCCGAAGGCAGAGGCTTTAACCCACTGAGCCACCCAGGCACCCCTAAATATCCTTTTGAAAATGAGTTAATAGGCTTGGTTTCTTTCTTTCTTTTTTAAAATAAGTTCCAATGTGGGGTTTGAACTCACGACCCTGAGATCAAGACCCAGCTCCAAAGACGGAGCCAGCGAGGCACCCCCCAACCTTCCTTGCTTCTTTGGGCAGGTATATTCTAATTGCTCTATCATGAATCTTTATCACCTATATAAACAAGATCAGAAGGACTTTTTTTCCTTTCCTTTTTCTTTTTTTTTTAAAGTGACATGTCTTCTTTACCTTCTTCGTCAAGGCTGCTAAAACTCTGCCTCTCGGTCAGCAAGTCTCGCTTCTCGTCCTTCCACTCTTGGCTAACTGAGGACACGATCTCTTGCGAGGTGGCCTTCAGGGCGGCGATGGAGTTGCAACGTTTTTTAGAAGGCGAGGCCTTCAAGGCTAGACAGGGAGGAAAAAGGAGAGACAACGATATTTACGGTAAAACCACATTAATTTTTTTTATCAAATTAAGATTTTCCCCATTAACGTATTACTCATTATTTGAGCCGAGTGCAAGAGACTTTTACAGACATGAGAGGGAGATGAAACTGTTTGGGTTTAGGGAATTTTATTTGTCCAGAATGACTCGACTTCAACGAGAAGATCCTAGAATACATGTGAACTGGAACATGTCTCCAGATTCTGAGGTCAAGTCTTACCAGAGGTAAGACTTAAACGTTCTGTCGCTAAAGGATACTTCTTCTGCCTCCAACCGATGTTTTTCTAGCGCTGGGAGGCGGTTGGGTGGGTTGGTAAATGCAGATGGTAAACCAAGGAGAATTCTCATGACCCTGGTTTTATTAACTTGGGGACTGGGAATTTCCAAACATGCCAATGTTTAATCTTATACTCATGAAGCCTAATTTAGCCCAGTGACTTCTGGTTGCTTTTTGCTTTTAAGTGACTTTCCACTGAAGTTTCCTGCTCTCTGGGTCTTTTCTAGGTCATGGCTGCGTCAGATGTTATCGTTCACTCCCAACCTTTGTGCAAACAGCATTCTCCAGTTTCAGGAGTGTGTTGGGAACCTGAACCAAGGCACATGGACTTCACCAACCATCCTGCTCGCGGAAGGGTGTCCCTTCACCTCTGATATGTCCGTGGGAGCGGCTGAGGCTGCAGACGGACCATCCCCATTTCCATGCCGTCTTTGCTGCAATAATTCTTGGCTTACCACTGTTAGAGAATTCCACTGGAGGGGAGGGAGTGAGGGAAGTTGAGGCTGGTTTATGCTTTTCCTGAACAGGCAAAGCCTCTCCTCTGCCTTTGGAGGTTTGCACAGACCGGGGACCTGACAGCTGATCCAACAGAGAATGGTGTCTGGCCTTGGGGAGCTCTCCAGGACTTAGATTATGGCGCTTATCTGGGGCCTGCCCATAGACGGCCTCTAAGAACGTAACTGGACAGGACTTTGGGACACACCGATGGGGAAAGAATAGTGGGCAATCTCTCCACTTTAAGAGAAGGGAAGGTTTATGTGTCCTATGAGCAGTTTTAGAACCATAACAATACGATCATTATCACAATAACTCCTGGAGAAGGCTTTAGGGTTTGGAGGGCGACAATCACACACCAAATCTCAAATACCCATTCGGTTGTCCGAGGGAGGTGGGCCCTTTTATAGGCCTGACAACTGAGACTGGGAAAGTTGCGACCTGCTCAAGGTCACACAGCTAGAAAGCATGAAACCCCAGGTGCCTTTCTTCTGCCTGAAGTTGTCTAAACTGGTGTTTATTTCCTCTCTCTAGAGGATTCTATTTCCTGGCTGATGTGAGGGGGAGAAAAGATAAAACCAGAGTGAGTTTTTTTGTTTTGTTTTGTTTTTTTGAGGGGAGGGCAATTGCTTCATTAGATTATAAATCTGTTACATGTTCTAATCCTTGACCCCAAAATTACTGAGGGAGGAACTAATTAATTAAAAAAAATCTTCCTATATTATTGTGTAGTACAGTGCTAAGTACATTACAAGTGCTCAAAGCTGGTTGACTGAATGCATTATTGTCCTAAAAATCTTAGAGCAGTTGATTTTTAACAAATTAATGTACTATTATATTCATTTCAGGAAGCTAAGTTTTACTGCTTGACACACATTATCTGGGTAGGGAATTTCAGTGATGCCTCAACATTATGATGACTAATATTTCTAGAAAAAATTATACAATTTGCAGACATTATTACAATGCGAGTATGACTCAATTTTGCGGTGGAATGAAAGACTAATAAGACTTAAAAAAGTAATTTGAAAGAAGAAACTTGAAGACTAGGTACTGTTCTCTTGGGGTTAGAAGTAAGAAGGGGACGTTTCCATCTACAAAGAAAGTATACCTATAAGCATTAAGGGCTTTAATAGAATTACAGTTGATAAAGCATCTTAAAGTTATTTTTTTTTACTTTTTAAAATTAAAAAAATTATTATTGGAGTGTAATTGACATACAATGTTGTATTAGGTTCAGGTGCACAACATATTGATTACAGACAATTCTATACATTCCTCAGTGCTCACCATGAGAAGTGTGATCACCATCTATCACTACATAATATTATTACTAGGATTATTTTGTTTTATTATGTTCAGTTAGCTAGCATACATAATATTGACTAGATTCCCTATGCTGTACTTTTCATCTCCATGACTTATTTTATTTTTTTTAAAGATTTTATTTATTTGTCATAGAGAGAGGGAAAGAGAGCGAGCACAGGCAGACAGAATGGCAAGCAGAGGCAGAGAGAGAAGCAGGCTCCCCGCCGAGCAAGGAGCCCGATGCGGGACTTGATCCCAAGACGCCGGGATCACGACCCGAGCCGAAGGCAGCCGCTTAACCAACTGAGCCACCCAGGCGTCCCTCCATGACTTATTTTATATCTCAAAGTTTGTACCTCTTAATCCCCGTTATCCATCTTGCCCATCCCCCACCCACATCCCCTCTGGCAAGCAGCAGTTTGTCCATTTGTTTTTTTAGATTCCACATAGAAGTGAGATTATATGGTATTATTGATCTTAGTCTTATTTAATTAGCATAATACCCTGTAGTTCTAGTCATGTTGTTGCAGATGGCAAGATGCCATTTTTTTTTAAAGATTTAATTTATTTATTTGACAGACAGAGATCACAAGCAGGCAGAGAGGCAGGCAGAGAGAGAGGAGGAAGCAGGCTCCCTGCTGAGCAGAGAGCCCGATGCGGGCCTCGATCCCAGGACCCGGGAATCATGACCTGAGCCGAAGGCAGAGGCTTTAACCCACTGAGCCACCCAGGCGCCCTGCAAGACGCCATTTTTAATGGCTGAGTAATATTTCACCGTATATAGACACGGTATCTTTTTTATCCATTCATCTGTAGATGGACACTGGGCTCCTTCTATGTCTTGGCTATTGGAAATAAAGCTGCAGTAAACACAGAGGTGCATGTACCTTTCTGAATTAGGGTTTTCATTTTCTTTGGGTAAACACCCCGTAGTGGAATTACTAATCAGTATTTCTACATTCAGTTTTTTGAGGAACTTTTTTCCACAGTGGCTACACCATTTTACATTCCCACCACCCGTGCATAAGGGCTCCCTTTTATCCACATCCTCGCCAACACTTGCTACTTCTTGTCTTTTTGATACTAGCCATTCTGACTGGTGTGAGCTGATATCTCACTGTGGCTTGATCTGCATTTTCCTGATGATTAGTGATACTGACCATCTGCTGGCCATCTGTATGCCTTCTTTGGGGAAAAAAAAAAGTCTATTCAGGTCCTCTGCCCGTTTTTTGATCAGATTTTTTTGTGTGTGTTGAGTTGTATAAGTTCTTTATGTATTTTAGATACTAATCCCTTATCAGAGTATCATTTGCAAGTATCTCCTTCCATGTAGTAGGTTTCCTTCACTGTGCTAAAGCTTTTTATTTTGGTGTAGTCCCACAAGTTTATTTTTGCTTTGGTTTCTTGCCTGAGGAGAAACATCCATTAATATTTTGCTTAGGGTGATAGCCAAGAGATTACTACCTATGTTTTCTTCAAGGAGTTTTAGGATTTCAGGTCTCACATTTAAGTTTTTAATTCATTTTGAGTTTATTTTTGTGTATAGTGTTAAGAAAGTGATCCAGTTTCATTCTTTTGTGTGTTGTCGTCCAGTCTTCCCAGCACCATTTGTTGAAGAGATGGTCTTTCCCCCACTGTGTATTGTTGCCTTCTTTGTCATTGATTAACTGACCATGTGGGTTTGGGCTTCCTTCCAGTCTCAGTCCTATCCTATTGATTTATGTGTCTATTTCTGTCCTGTTCTGATGACTACAGCTTTGTAGTATATCTTGAAATCTTCGATTGTGATACTTTCGGCTTTGTTCTTGTTTTTCAAAATCACTTTGGCTGTTCGGGGTCTTTGGTGGTTCCATACAAGTTTTGGGATGACCTGTTCTAGTTCTGTGAAAAATGTTCTTGGTATTTTGAAAGGGATGCCGTTAAATCTGTAGATTGTTTTGGGTAGTATGAATGTTTTAAGAACATTGGGTCTTCCAATCCATGCCCATGGAATATCTTACCATTTATTTATGTCATCCTCAATTTCTTTCAGTGTTTTCTAGTTTTCAGAGTACAACTATTTCACCTCCTTGGTTAAGTTTATGCTGAGGTATTTTATTATATTTGGTGCAAGTGTAAATGGAATGGTTTTCTTAATTTCTCTTTCTGCTACCTCATTATTATTGTGTTGAAGTGCAATGGATTTCTGTATATTAATTTTGTATCCTATGACTTTAATGAATTCATCAATCAGTTCTAGTAGTTTTTTTGGTGGAGTCTTTGGGGTTTTCTACATATGTAGTATAATGTCATCTGCAAATAGTGAAAATCTGACTTCTTTGCCAATCTGGATGGCCTTATTTCTTTTTCTTGTTTGATTGCTGTGGCTACAACTTCCACAGCTGCAGAATGGACATCCTTGTCTTGTTCCTGATCCTAGAGGAAAATCTCTGAGTCTTTCACCATTGGGTATAGTGTTAATTGTGGGTTTTTCATGTATGTCCTTTATTGTGTTGAGGTATGTTCCTTCTAAGCCTAGTTTGTGGAGTTTTTTTTTTTAACAGGAATGAATGTTGTACTTTGTCCAATGCTTTTCCTGCGTCTATTGAGGTGATCATATGGTTTTTATTCTTTTACTTGTTAATGTGATGCATCACACTTTTATATATCCCATTAGAATTTGTTGTGCAGAGTGCTTGGGTGGCTCAGTCATTAAGCGTCTGCCTTTAGTTCAGGTCATGATCCCAGGGTCTTGGAATACAGTCCCATGTCGGACTCTCTGCTCTGTGGGGGTGTCTGCTTCTCCCTCTACCCCTCCCACCACTTGTTCTCTCAATCTCTCAAATAAATAAAAATGTAAAAAAAATAATTTGTTGTGCATTTATGTAGGCAAACCAATAACTCTGTGTGTGTGTGTGTGTGTGTCTATCTATATATATCTGTATCTGTAAGAACTAAATGGGATGCCTGGGTTGCTCAGTCAGTTAAGCAGCTTCCTTCAGCTCAGGACATGATCCCGGGGTCCTGGGATGGAGTCCCACATCAGGCTCCTTGTTCAGCATGGAGCCTGCCCCTCCCTCCGCCTGCTGCTTTCTCTAACAAATGAATAAATAAAATCTTTAAGAAAAAGATTTCAGGGGCGCCTGGGTGGCTCAGTGGGTTAAGCTGCTGCCTTCGGCTCAGGTCATGATCTCAGGGTCCTGGGATCGAGCCCCACATCGGGCTCTCTGCTCAGCGGGGAGCCTGCTTCCTCCTCTCTCTCTGCCTGCCTCTCTGTCTGCTTGTGATCTCTGTCTGTCAAATAAATAAAATCTTTTAAAAAAAAAAGAAAAAGATTTCAGTTATTTGAGAGAGAGCATGTGGGTATGTGCATGTGAGTGGGAGGAGGAGCAGAGGGGGAGGGAGAGAATACCAAGCAGGCTCTTCGCTGGGCATGGAGCCGGTCATGGGGCCCAACCTTGATCCTAAGATCACGACCTGAGCCAAAATCAGGAGTCAGACGCTCAACCGAATGAGCCACCCAGGTGCCCCCTAAATGGATCTTTAATATGATTTTTATTTTAAATATTATTCCATTAGATTGCACCATAATATATATACCCAATATAAGATAAGGTTTGACATGTAGGCAGTTTCTGTTTTTTCCTACCACAAACTGGGCCTCTAATGATTATGGCATCAGTAAATACGTAATGGAACACTTCATCAAAATTACTAAGTCACCACAGCTTTTGGAGATGAATAGTCCAAACCCTTCCAATAAAAATCTTGCAAAGATTGCCCAGAGTAAAGTCAGTAAGTGCTAAAAGTAAAAAAAAAAAAAAAAAAAAAATTCCTAAGAATCTTACCTTGAATTTTCTTGAAAACTCTGGAATTCATAAACTTGAGAAACCTGTCAGCATAAAAGCTTGGTCGATGAACTGAAACGGTATCCTGGAAGGACAAAGCAGGTGGCACAGGTTTACCTCTCAGATCACTGCAAGCCAGAAGAGAGATCTACGCAATCGGTTCTCTGCTGGCCCAACGTCCTGAGCCAGGAGGCATGGATGCTGGCAGTCGGAAATGAGCAGTACGTGTCATCTGTGTGACCCGTGGTGCCCAGGAGTGAGACTGGGGACACGGGCATAAAGGCACTGTGGGCAAAGTTTCCAGATATTCCTGAGGAGAGTATGGAGAGGGGCACGGGGGAGCCAGCCAAAGGACGCTGCTTTATAAAACAAAACAGCTGATTCTCATTCCACTGTGTGCCCTGTGAAGCTTTTAGATTTTTTTTTTTTTTTTAAACATACAGGCAACCAGTGTTTCATCTAAAATAAAGGATAATACTGCTTTCGGTCAGGGACAAAAATTGGGGACATACGCAAAACAACCCTAATGTAAGAGTGACATGGAGGTTAAAAAGAAAATAGTGTGGTTTTGTCTCATACTAATCAGGTGCACGGACACTGGGAAGACTCCTCGGGGACAAGACTGACTGATGACCTCCGCTTCGCTGAATTATCTACTAATTAGATAGAATTAAACTGAATTGAATTGTTAACTCAATTCTCTCGTGCTTGGCAGGAGTCTTCAGGACTGGAGGGGCATTTTATTATAAATCCAGGAAAGGAGATGTATGAAGAAGCTAATTCTACATGTTTATTCAGTAATCACATATCTGCTAACCAAGATGCACATTTCTAGAAATAGTAAATGTGCCGTTTTCATTCAACGTTTGTGTATTCTAATAGAAAAAGTTCTGAAAATTTAAATTTAGATGGTATAAAGCAGCTGCTCTGGGTTTGGAAGAAAAAACCCACATTGGACCAGAGGTCTGGAGACCTGGTTCTGATGTTAGTTCTAGCTTTAATACAGCTGTGTGATCCAGGAAGAAGGCAGGGCCTCGGTGCCTCTATTTTTTTTTTTTTTTAATCTATGAAACAGGGCATTATAGGAGGCATAAGGTCATTCTGTAAACAGCATGTTATGAAGGACACAGTATAGAGAAAGCCTCTTTGACCAAGGCATACTGGTCCTCTAGCCCGTTAGGGATGCTGTAGAGGTGGGCATTTCTGGCTGGTTTGACATGCAGCTCCTGTCTGAAATGGACACATACAACAGGCACAGTAACTTAGAAATATCTTATGGTGCAAGATGATTGAGACTCGGACCTTGCCTTCCAAGAGAGATTGGACCGTGTTTCTCTTTGGCGTGAAGAAACATTGTTTAAGTAAGAGGCACATTTGCAAACAAACAAAAATGAGTCTTATTTACTGCTTTCACAATTCCACAAATACATGTTCAATACAAAGATACTCTTAAAAAAAAAAAGCAAAACAAAACCAAACCCAGCAGAATGGAATGTGTTTTAACTAGACAAAGGTAGGGGCCTCTCAGCAGCATCTGACCAGTGGAGAACTAGGTCATCCCATCAGAAATCTTAGCCTGATAACAGGGAATTAACGTTGTCTCAGAAAACAGAAGGTGTTTACTATTTCCCTTCCATGGTGAAGATACTATTCAGTCTCTACTTTAATCAGGAAGGGAAAAAATGAACCTACCATCTTGGCTTTTAAATAGAAGGAATCTTTGATCTGAATAATAAGCCTACATTTAATTCTTAGAAACAAACCCGTGACTCTGTTGTTTACAAGTGCGTTCTGAGGAAGCCATTCCTCAGCCTGTAGACAAACGCAGACCTTTCACGCTGGAAGGTTCTTACCAGTTTTCCACAGAACTGAGGAAGTGGAAAGTGTTCTTTCCAATAAAGGACAAGAATGATATCTGTAATTTATCTTCTCTCAAAGGAAAGCATCTGCTAACATCTTTTAAAAAAAAAAGGTGTGAGCAAATCTTTGACCGATACTTTCTTTGGAAGTGTCACTTTGGGTTATTAACTGAGGGAGGCTGAGGCCAGTAAACGTTCTGTCAGCAGCAAAAAGTTCAAATCTAACATCCAGAGAGGAACGTGCATGAGTGTTACGTGGGTTGAGAGAGCGAGCGGGGGTGGGGGAGTGGGGCTGGGGGAGGGAGGCTGTTGGTGGATAGCTGATTGTTTTCTTTGGTTATACAATTCTGAGTTCAACAGATATCCTCATGCCAGTCAGTCTCAGTCTTATATCCAACCGTAACTTCGTATGTCTTGTGTTGAAAACTAAAGGGCATAGTTTTATTTTATCCTTATATCAGCCCAATGAGGCAAGTACTAGGTACTATTACCATGTCTCTTGGAGAGATGGGAAACCAGGCCAAGAGAGGCCAAATCACAACCAACGTGTCTGGCAGGGTTCAAATCCCAGGCTGTGGACCACCAAAGTCAGGTTCAGACCATGCCACAGCTCAGTCTTGTGAGAACCTCATTTCAACTGTCCTCCTGAGCTTCCAGGGCCCATGCAAAGAGTCTCCCCTTCTTCCCAGCATCCTCTCCTTTCATACGTGTGTCCAGATTTCACGCAAAAATAAGACATCATTTTCTCTGCTAACGCGACTTCCTAGACACACCCTGATGTCTGAGAAATCAGAAAAATATATAGATATCAAGGAACATGATAATCACATACCCCATCATAGACCAGAGCTTTCCAGGAATGTTCTAGCTTCTTCATTAACCTAAACATAAAGACACAGAAACATACAAATGAGAATGTAAAATCATTCCCATTTGGTGGATTTTCAGAATACCTTTTGTTGATTTATTTTGAAATAAGGAAAGGCTACTTCCCCAAATCTCTTACCTATATGATTGCAGAATATCAATAATGCCCATAAATAAAAGTAGTTTTTCTCCCTTATGGCTTTTAGCTGGAATGCCTCCCATTCTGTTGATAGAGCAAGAGAGAAAATAGTTTATGACATATAATGGGAAGTTAAAAATCACTTCTAATAAACAGACTAAATAAAAATGGACAACTTTAAGAATTCTGGACTCCCACTCTTTTTTTTTTTTTTTTTTTTTTGCCTTGGGTAAGGTCTCCCTGGGAATCCAGAATGCTGACCTTCCCACACAGAATGAAAATGTAGCTGTTGACTCAGGACAGCTGGACGGGAAGAATCCAAACAAAAAATTATTCCTATTTTAAAACTACGGGAACAAATTTTTAAAGTATTTTTTAAATACTCCCCTTTAAAAATGCAATGCTTTTACCTATTTGCTATGAAGTGTAACAGATTTAAAAGAACCCATTCCTAGGAGGCAAAGGACCACTATTAGCATTTGGTACACCCTTCCAGTATAAATGCATGTGTGTAGGTGTTTATTAGTCCACAAAAGCAACGGTTTAACATGCTTTATAACTTGAATTCTTCAATCGCTAAATGATTAGACATTTGCTTGTGTTTAATGCTAACGTGTTTTTTGTGGCTCTGTAGTTCCCTATACTGATACAGAATCCCTTGCTTAAAGGACTATTGGGCATTTAGATAGATGGAGAAGAGAGGATTTTTTAAAAGTTTGATATGTATGATGTGTATTCCTTTATAAAAGTGAAATATGGGGGCGCCTGGGCGGCTCAGTGGGTTAAGCCTCTGCCTTCGGCTCAGGTCATGATCCCAGGGTCCTGGGATCGAGCCCCGCATCCGGCTCTCTGCTCAGCAGGGAGCCTGCTTCCTCCTCTCTCTCTGCCTGCCTCTCTGCCTACTTGTGATCTGTGTCTGTCCAATAAATAAATAAATAAAATCTTTACAAAAAAAAAGAAAGCGAAATATGCCCGTGATTTAGTCATTGTTGGAGACTCCTAAAAGGCAGTATCACTAATGGCCAAGGAAAGCGACGCCTTCCGTTCACTCTCTTGCCCAGCTGGTAAATGCACGTGACAGTCAGCCACTGTAGTAATTTTCCTTGGTTGCAAGTGTTTCTGTTCGTCAGTGTGGACTTTATCTATGCAAACGGATCCTGCAGTTACCAGCACATCTGGCTAAGGCAAGAGACCACATCTGCCAGGGGGTAGAGGATCCAGAAGAAGAGAGTCCTCTCCTGCAGATGAGGAGCTCTGAATGACGAATGCAATCCTGATCATGTGTTTGCTTAAATACGCGTTGATTCAAATTCAAAGTATGTTCTCCCTGTTGTGGGAGACGTTTTGAATACGGAGCCGGTGGGGGTAGACAGAAACATTTCGGCGATTGTTCCGAAATGGAGCCATTTGAAAAAGGCAAGCACACGGGGGAAAGAATGGTAATCACCGGAAGCACCGCCATGCATCTAGTTACCCGGAGATGAGCAGAAATGAAGGCTGCTCGACCCATTTTAGCACCGGGTACGAATCCGTTCTCAAAGAGCCCCCATGGAGGGAACATGATTGCGTGTCATGACCCACTGCCGTGGGCCGCCACGACCAGGAGGGTGGGCAGGTGGGCGGGCGCACTTACGTGTCCGGGTTCTCTGCGATGATCCCATCTCCGGGTTTCCCTGGACCCTGGATGGATTCCATCGCCGTGGAATAGAGGACCTTCTGCATCCCGGACCGCTTAGCATCAGGCACATTCTGTGAGTTTTCCTCTTCCTTCTCTTTGAGGGAATGGTCCAAGATGTGGATTCCCAGCAAAAGGCTATAGTCCATGATTTTGAAGCTCTCCAGCACCTGCGGAAGAAAAAGAACCAGGCGGCCGGTGAACGGAAGGGGGTAAGTCTCAGTGGCAGGGAATCAGAAAGTTCTAGAGACGCAGATGCACAGCTCCCGCATCCCTTCCAGAGCATGGCAGATGGAAGAAAAACAAAATCAGAATATTTGAGGTTATTATTAGGTCAAGTTCAGTAGGGATTATCACAACGGCTCCAAGATGATATTTTTTACGCAAACCTAAAGCAAGCACAGCTTTTCCTAACCCTCCGTGAACGCTTCCCTTGTCACATTTATTGAGCACTTCCCACGTGCCAGGTTCTAAGGAGGTCACTCAGATCCAACCCTCACAACTCTTCGGACAAGATACTACCACTGTCTCTATTTCACAGAGGAATAAAATGAGCCAGAGGGAGACAAGGTAATTTGTTCAGTATTACACAGCTTAGAAGTGGCACTGTTGGGATGTGAACCCCAGGCAGTCACCTCCAGTGGCCACACTCTTAAACACCAGAGCACAGACACCCCCAACCAATGGTCTCTACATGTTTGTGTGCTCCTCCGCATGAGGACTCAGCCGGAATGTGTTTTTGTCGGAATTCCGTTCTCTACATCTTAACCGTGCTGGAGTTCCATGGTCTCCTTGGGAAAGCTGGCGTTTCCCAGTGGCCACTCGGTTCCCAGCAGAAGTGTTTTTAAAAAAAATTATGATCTCGGGGCGCCTGGGTGGCTCAGTGGGTTAAGCCGCTGCCTTCGGCTCAGGTCATGATCTCAGAGTCCTGGGATCGAGCCCCGCATCGGGCTCTCTGCTCAGCAGGGAGCCTGCTTCCTCCTCTCTCTCTGCCTGCCTCTCTGCCTGCTTGTGATCTCTCTCTGTCAAATAAATAAATAAAATCTTTAAAAAAAATTATGATCTCAACAAACAACAGGACTTCACGCTTAGTTATCCGCTCAGCAAACAGTGGGGAAGAGAAGGAATGAGGAGTAGCGGGAGGCAGCCAGACAGAGGAGGGAGAGACGCTCTGAAAGGAAAATGGCAGGAAATAAGGTCAAGAGAAGAGGCATTGCACATGGCTTCCCGGGGTAGGCGACACTCAGGAGGCTTCTTCCGTGAAGGAAGAGTATTCAGGAGAGCATGCAAATGGGGCGTCTTCCTCTATGGTAAAGTTCTTCTCCTAGTGGGCTGAGACTTTTTAACGCCTGGCATTTCTCACACAAAGCTGCTCAGGAAATCAAAAACAGCCCAGAGATGAAGACAAGCCTGCACAGCAGAACAGTTGTCTCTGCATCAGCAGGATAATCTGTCGCTATACCCCAGACAGGGAATGTCTTTGAGGGGCAGAGTGTATGGATAATTCTTTAACCAGAGACTGAAGACCCAGAATTCCATAGGCTTTCCTCATTACTCTTTAGCCCAAATGCTTATATATTTAAAAAAATTTTTTAAAAATTTAAATTCAATTTAGTTAACACAGAGTATGTTATTAGTTTCAGGGGAACCCGATTGCTCTTTGATCAGACATTTATGATAGAGATATAGCAATCAGGGGTTGGACCCGAGGATTTATACACCTGTGGCCTCCTTAAGGGGGGGGGGGTTTGTGAACTATGACATAGCTGGCCTTCCAGAAATACGGTTATCCCTGGGTCTCATGCATCAATGAGGAAAAACCAAGGGGGGCTGCCCATGAGTATCAATTATTCAGAGCATCAATGATTCATCACTCAGTTTACTCAACTAAGTACTTCGAGAAAGGAGGCAGGCAGGAGCTGAGAGTAGAGTCTTACTATTTAAGAGGTTTACGCCATGGAACTTTCTAACCCAAGAGACTGACCTGATAGTCATGTGACCTGATAGTCATGTGGACCCAGCTTCCCTAACCTAAGAAGAAGTGGAGCCAAGAATGAAGGAAGAGGGAAGGGTGGCAGGAAGAGTTCCTCACCACTGCCCCAATGATTCCGCATCCAACCCATTGGCTGGTTCTCCAAGGAGACCAATCAGCACCTTCCTCATGCCTCCATAAAGCAGGATGGAGTCCGGTAAGAAAGCAAGCCAGCTTTGTATCACGGTTGCCAAGGACCCAACCTCTTATGAAGAAACACTAACAGATACTGGACACTTTCTTCAGACAAAAGCAAGAGTAGAAGGACCTGGGTGCCTGGGCAGCTCAGTTGGTTAAGCAACTGCCATCAGCTCAGGTCATGATCCCAGAGTCCCAGGATCGAGTCCCGCATCAGGCTCCCAGCTCCACGGGGAGTCTGCTTCTCCCTCTGACCTTCTCCCCTCTCATGTTCTCTCTCACTGTCTCTCTCTCTCAAATAAATAATCTTTAAAAAGAAAAAAAGTAGAAGGACCTTCGCTTTTGTAACTGTCAACCATACTGAAAGGGTGTCTTGGAAACCGCGCCCCCTGAGACGGCGTCATAGTCCTGCCCGGGGATCACCAGCTGCAGATGCCAGGTTTCTGACTCCCAGGTACCAGAGCTCGCGTGTCCCTTCCTAGAGAGGCTCTGGGGTAAGGACCTAAAAAGCACGACTCTGACCTGGGTGGGTCACATCACCTCCTTATGCCTGTTTCCTCCTCTGCGGAAGGCCGACAATATTATTACACACTGCAGAGGGTACGTGAAAATTCAACATGGAAATGCAGAGAAAGTGCCTAGAAAATTTCTTGGTACAGGGAAAATACCCAATTAACTGCTAGGTACCCTCATCCTGACTTTAAGTCATGGAAACTCATGGCTCACACTGGTGTGAGAGGCTACAGAAGTTGTCTTGATATAAACACCCTTGAGGTGACACTTTTGACAACAAAAATGTACAAAAAGCCCATAAAAATATGACTGCATTTTTGGCCAGCTTACCAGCACCCTTTGGGCCCCTTTAAAAGTTCTGGGTTGAGTGTCTGATGGGAAACGGACAGCTGGCCGCACCGCAGTTCTGGTCCAAGGGCTCTAACTCCACGGCCCCACCATCTGGGCCAACAGGCCCGTTGTCAGTGAGCAAAATTCACAGCCTCATGCCCTGCACGGTCCAGACACCCCACTGCTAAGTGTCCCCACACAGCAGTACCCAGGCTCCAAAATCAAATTCTAATCGGACCCTGGGACTGTGCTGTGGGCATTCCTGCCCAGGAATCCTGCATGCTCTACAGCGAGGTGTGGGAAAATGGAAAGGTCCTTGTGATAATGTCCCAATTCTTTCTCTCTCCTCTGCAGAGTATCTGCAAGGGAATTCTGCTTGTTGAAAAGCCTTCTTTATCAAGTATTTTTCCTTAAATTCTCAATGCAAGATTCAACCTGAACTGTCTGGTTTGTACTCAGAGGTTCTTCTCCTGCCTAAGGACAGGCCAAACGGAACGGGTGTCTTTTATAAGTGATCCAAAGTCAGGCTGGGGCCAAGTTTTAATTCCTGATGTTTTCCTGATTTCCTGATGCTTTAAAGTCACCAAATATTTGTCCTGGCTTATTTAAAACAACAACAATAACAACAAGCCTCCAGAGAGAATTCACTATGAAAAAGCTATACCTAAATTTTTAAAAGCGAATCATTTTCTCTGTGCTCTCAAGCTGGATCGTCAGAGTCCCTGAAGGATACTGAATTGTCTTTAGGAAGCCAGGCTCCTGCTTTCAGAGTGAAAAGCTTAAAAAAGAGGAGTCTGCACAGAAGGACCATGGAGTTACCTCTGGAAAGACCAACATCTACTTTTCCCTCATTATAATGCCAAAATCTCCACCCAAGCAGGGGAGCACAAGCCGCATTTATATAACTTCTAATGTATGTATAGGCGCGTTACCTTAAGAGGTCTGAGCGACCTTCTGCCCATGTCTACAGCTGGTAACAAGGCTTCCCTGTCTAAATACTCATCCTAACCCCAAATAAGAGACACCCACCCACTGTTACTTGGGGAGTCAGGGCTTTGGAAGTCATTCCCTGTGATCTCCTTTTTCGCTGCAAAGTAAAGTTCTTTGTGGGACAACCCCCCCCCCCACCAAAAAAAGATAAATTCTATTCCCACGGTGTGGGAAGTGACCATGATAGTTAGATTTGGGGTTAGGTAAAGTCACCATCTACCAAAAAAAGAAAAAAAAACAAGGAAGAAGAAGAGAAATATATAGGCATATATTTTAAGTCAAATTCCAAAACTTCCGTAATGAAAAAAAAATTCTGGGAACAGATTTTAGTCACGTGCCCTGCAGATCTGCATCAATTAGGAACAAAATAGTTGTTATTCATATCCTCCCAGTTCCGTAATTAAAGGAATCAAATATATCTGCCAAAATCTTAGCATGTGTGAGCCTCGGGAGTATGCAACATTCTGCGACATGACAGACACCCATCAGTCAAGTCTGTCACTCAGGGGCGAAAACACTTTTTTTCTAGAATGTCTGCCTGACCTGGCTGCTGCTGGTGGGTTTTCTAGCTGTGTGTTTGCTGTGCAAAACGGTATTTATTGTCAAAGCCAGATTTCTTCTCCTTCTCTCTCAAGGACTATTTTAAGACAATAGCAATACTGGAAGATAGTAAAAAAAAAAAAAAAAAAGAAAAAATTCAGTGTTGGGAGCATCTGGTACAAAAATCCTGAAGACATGATCAGAACTCTCTATTCCCAAAGAAAGCATCTTCTTCAGGTTCTTATCCCCGGGTGCTATGTTGGGAATTATTCATAGAATTTCTATAGAATTTATGACCCAATGTGGGAAATGTGATGTTGTCACTGCTGTCCTCTCTCCATGGCTAAAGGTCAGCAAGACTGCCTGCTCCTCCTGCCCCATTTCCACCTTCTGTGCCCACACTCGCTGCACACTGTCCCTGTCCCCTTGCTAGAAGGAGCAGGAGCAGCGGGGCGGTGGGTGAGGCTCTGGGTTCTGGAGCCAGGCAGTCTGGTTTCCCTCGTGGCTTCCCCATGTGTCCCTGTGCAAGGTACGGAGCTGTTCTGCACCTTGTTCCCTCATCTGTAAAAGAGAGATAATAGAGATAACTGACCTTAGAGAGTTACTGCGCAGACCGAGTTAATCCAC